GCTCTTCCGGGCTGGACCGCCTCTTAGGCTCCAGTTTCACTTTGAAGACAAATAGAGAGGAAGTGGGTTTCTATCAGACACCCGTGGAGAATATTCACTTAACCTTACAGACTGAAAGAACTTTGCGGCCACCAAACTCTACTTGATTGAGTATCGTGGAGTTCATTTCGACCCTAGTTGGTATCTGACTGTGCTTTAGACAGGAGAAGTGACTTGTACTTTGCTTTTGGTGTTTGAGTTTTCATTTTGTGTATGTATTGCCATGTATTGACAAGGTCCATGTTCATATTTTAAAGACTATTCAGTATTTATTGGATGACTAAACCACAGTTGGCTCTGTTTTCTTACCTTTGGTCATTTGATTAGAATTTCATCTAAAGACCTCGCTGGAGGGACTTCCCCGGTGGTCCAGTGGTTAAGACTCTGAGCTTCCACTGCAGGGGGCACGGGTTTGATCCCTGGTCGGGGAAGTAAGATCCCGTGTGCCACGTGGCGTGGCCAAAAAAAATTAAAAAAATAGAGACCTCACTGGAGGTGCCTGTGGATGACAGGGACCCCTGCATCCTCACTGCCAGTTTGGATAAATGAGGGCCCCCTGTTTGGAGTTGAGCATCGCTGCTGAATGGGAGGCTAGTGCGAGCACTTGAGGGACTTACCCAGCCTCGAGCCTCCAGACAGGCTGTCGAATGGGTGGGCTGAACAAGGCCTCCTGTGACTCACCTCCTCCCGAGCGCTCCCAGACCTCCTACTCTGAGTGAGACTGAGCCCGAGTGACAGAGACAGAGACTCAGGTGGCACCGGGGGGAATCCAGAGCCTGGAGCATACGATGCACTTGGTGGGCCTGGAGGTCCTGCTTGTGGGCTTGGCGGTAAAGACCTTCTCCCAGCCTGCAGGCCCGGAAACTCCAGCAGGCGTGGCCCCAAACTTCACCTCTGTGAGCAGGTGACGTTCCCAAGTGGGAGTGGAGAGACAGGGAGACCAGGTGGCCCCTGCTCGGCGCTGGCCTCCTGGGATTAGGGCGCCAGAGGACCCATAGCAGGAGCTGCCTTTAATCAGCACACGGTCCTGCATCCCTGGCAGCTCCGTGGGCTGCTTTGGGCAGAGTCAGGTGTAGAAGGGGCACCGTGCCAGCTGGGAAGTCCTGGAAGCCGACAGCGTCATTCAGGAGGCAGGACTCTCCTCTCTGGTCTGCTGTCGGCTGGCAGCCCAGGAATGACCAAACTCCTCTCTCTCTGCAGAGGGGAGACCCCCTCCCGTCAAGGCAAAGGATGACTCTGACACCTGACTCC